GGTGCTATATAAGTTTTTCTAATATTGACGTACTATAGAATAACTAGTTATGTCTTTCGGCATTGTTTATATGAATTAGAATCGCATTCGTTAATCTCTTCTAGTTAGTCATAATTTAGTACCGTTTTTACAAATAATTACTTTTATCCAATAGTTTATTTAATATATACATTTATGATGTCTAACAGGCTCATTTCTGGCAATATTCCCTATCATATTCCTCCACACGGATCGTTCTGGAAATCATGATTAATTCTTATCAAATTCTTCGTAATGTACCATCTGGTGTGGTCTTACGAGTATTTTCATCTATCATTCCTCACTAATTAGTCACTATCCCAAAGGATAAGCAGGCTAAAGTGGCAATAGGCTGGTCATATAGCTCGAAGAACTGACAACCGATAGGGAAGAATGGTTTTGTGTGGTGACCCTGTACAGGTAAACGCAGTGTGGGACGATACTTACTAGATGGAGTGATGACTTCGAATAGATTGTAAGGAGTTAGTGGATGCAGATAGCTTAGGACTATCGCAATTTTTTTTCATACAACTTAGAATGGCAAACAGGCTGACGGCCCACCTGATGGAAAGTGGAAACCATCGCCTATAGACATGGGCAGTACCATGGACATAACAGAGTATACTGTTTCACCCATGATACCCCCCATGCGTTGCCATTCCTGAGAACTCAGGTGTTATTCCTCTGTACCCAGTAAATTCACGACATATCCCACCCTACAAACCGAAACACAGCCATGCAAACACAACTGCTTTGCGGTTGAAACACGAGTGGGACAGAGGTACCCAAGCAATCGACTTTTGTACAAACTCTCCCTCTGGTATCGTATTATAGTCTATGGGGGAAACCTATGTTCAGCAGTGGACAGATAAAGCCTGATATGATGACGACGAGCCCTCACTAGTACCCCGTCAGTATATATCGGTAACGCAAACGGAATTAATACTCCAGAACATAAAAAAAATCTTTACATGACAGAATCGAGTTAACAGAATTAACAGTAACACAGCAGGAAAACACTAAATGTATAAATAACGGACAGCTAAATTCTGCTATGTAATTATTTACTGGATACCGACAAAATACTAGTTATTTCGAAATATGAAATAACGGTTTGACTGATGGACAGAGCGTGTTCATGATTTTACAATCAATAATCATTGGAACATGTTAATTTTACCGGCGTCCCTCAGTTTGTGATGGCACCTATCTAATAGTGAATTAGTGAAAATACGAGTACACTGTAGTGAGGTGCCGAGTTGCACTGACTCGAATAACTAGCGAATACTAGCGGTTTCGATTACTGAATATAAAGAATTCGGGTACTGGTTTCTTCGAATATTTACGGTACTCGAATAGTATGTGTATAATTATTATAAGTTTTCCTATTGTTTCATTGTTTTATTAATATCTTCTTTAAGTATTAAAAGAAAAATATGAAATTACGAAACATGTAATCTTATAAATGTCTTCAAAAAAGTAAACTTCAGAAATTAAAATTTTTAAACTATGATAATTTACTTGGGTTATCTTGACGTTTCAACCAGACTATACCAGCCGTCTACTAGTCTACTAGTAACCTACTAGTAGACTGATAAGGTACTTGATTGCTTATGCAAACAATAGATTGTCAAAATCTGCGAACTTAAGTCAGGATTCGATTATTTTTAATGAATACCAAAATACTCGAATTGGTACTAAGAAGGCCAATTCGGCACATCACTAGTACTGTTATGTTTAATAACTATATTTAAATAACTGGTTGTGGTAATTATTTAAATAAAGTAATTAGCTAATTATATAATGAAGGTTTGTAGATATTTATATATAAAATATAACCCACTTTTAGGTTCGGTACGCAGAATCTTTTTTACTTAATGTAATGTTACTTTGTTTAGATCTTCATGTAAGTCTTTAATATCTTTTTTAATACATACGCGTTTATTATATGTATAAAAAACATCCATATCAATATAAATAAAATATACTTGTATCTTTAAATATTTTTGATATATTGAATCCGCGACTATAGCAAAAATTAGTGAATTAAACTATTACACCAATAAATTGAAAAGGTTTTGTTTAAATTGAACTTTTTTGTTGATTGTTTTCACTTTTTAAATGAGTTAAATTTAAGTGTTTTGATATGTTTTAAGAAAATTAAATTGAGATTCTTAGCAAGCTTTTTTATGACTGACACTGGTTCTGGACACGTCTTCATTTGATAAATTGGCATTCATTATCTATATATTTATGTAATGTTAATTTGTTTTTATTGTACCTGTGATTATATATATTAGGTACATATTTAATATATATGTATGTGTTTATATATGTATATAGTTAATAATTTTGTTTTTAAATATGATAATAGGTACTAATAGTTATTTTCTTCAATGTTTTATGCTGTAATAACAAATTTGCTAAATTATACAATATATCATACCTACTCCTACAACCATTAGTCAGTAACCCTAAGGTTGTGTTGCAAAGATTGCTCTTAGCAATAAGACCGTCTTACTGTACTTATACAACTGTATCGTTACATTTTTTTATTGTCTTAATTATTCCCTATATTGTACAATGCAAATAAAGTGTACTCCTTCATTTAACATTAAATATAAACATGTAAGTATTTGGTAAAAATAGTATCTAAGTAGAAAAGAATTAAAAGTAACATTAGAAACAAAAGGACGGCCAGCGAGAACTAAATTACCAATAATCCTTTAATCGCACAGAAACATTATCGTTGCCAATGATTGGCACCGCCATTATCGTTCTCGTACTGGACTTTGGGCGAACCGAGAATTGTGAGTTACATGAGAACCTGCGTAATCCCAGCTTACTCTTATAAGGGTCAGTTTGATGGCTCTTTAATTGGGGTGTATATTGGTGGGTATATTTGGAGGGTTTTCTTTTGTTATTTCGGTCAGATTGCGTAAAACTCAATGAAGTAATTTACGATTGATTTTTAGTTTATTTTTTTGCTCAGTTATTGGGATTGAATATACGTTACAGTATCTTTAGTTTAAAAAGAGAAACAACTGAAGTTGGTTTTTTTGTAGGACACAATTATAATTATGTGTCATGGTGTTAGTAGTTTCATTAAAAAATACATTTACATAATAATATGTGTATGAAATGCTCTAATATCGCAAATAATATTAGAATAGAATAAAATAGAAAGAGAAAATATTTATTGCCAGAAAAATACAATGACAAAAGAAAATAATTTTTCGGTTTGAAGGATGGGATATGGCGTGAATTTACAGGGTACAGAGGAATAACATTCTGAGTCCTCAGAAATGGCAACGCATGGGAGGTATCATGGGCGAAACAGTATACTCTGTTATGTCCATGGTACTGCTCATATCTATAGGCGACGGTTACCACTTTCCATCAGGTGGGCCGTTAGCTTGTTTGCCATTCTAAGTTGTATAAAAAAAATCATATGAAGTGTCTTATATTAGGCAAAAGGAAATGGCTCAGCTGATGCTGTGAGTGTCCCAGTGCAATGCGTACAGCTGCGATTACCTTTATTGTAATTGCAATTATTATAATATTAAGATTTTTTTTCATCGTAAGACCATTTTAGAAAGTTTGTTTTGTTTCAGGAAATTGAACAAATAGTGTAAAATTCTTAATCATTGAAGCTCCAAAGTTTATCGCCTTTTGTCTTAGAGAAAAAGTGTACCAAGGACCCGGTTAACGTTAGTAAGTCTGCGTCACAGAGTCGTTTAATACATTTATTTTATCTGACGATGACCAGGCAATTTATTTTCGGAGACACAGCAGTCATGCTACCTGCACTTGAGATTGTGCCTGAAGCTTTTAGTGAAACATCAATAGACTCTGATTGTGGCACTTCAGATGATTGTACAAGCAATATTATACCTAAATCCGGAGACATTATATCTAAAATAGAATATCCACGGCAGAGTGCTGACAAATCTTCTAATAATGAAAACATAGATACGAGTTTGAAAGTCGAAGCTAAATGTATTGATGGTTTAGTTGATTTTAGATTGACAGTTGGAGGTATTGGTAATAATACTTAGGGTTTATTGCATTTTGAACATAAGAATAAAGACTATAAGGTTGTATTTCCATTGATACGTTATTGGCGCCACGCTTTGTCATGCCGATATGATCTATATCCGGTGCAGTTTCGGGATGAAAATATTTTCTTTTATCTTAAGTGGCTATATCTGCTTATTAATTAGTTTTAGAGCACATCGAGCTGTCAAATCAAACACTTTGTCGGCAGTTGGTGATCTCAATGTAAAATAGACGATGATTGTATGAAATTCTAAAAGGTAATTCTAATGGGTGCTGGAGATAGTGGTTTGACCATTTTGATGGTCATAGATGGCTGTGGGTGCTCAAGTTTAATCTTTAATCTATAGATATGCTGTATCGATTAGTGGATGTTTTGTCTTTATTAAGGGGGGAGACTCATGTAAAATTTTCAAAAAATCGATTTTTTTTTTTTTCGATATTCTGAAAGTATACTATGTTGAGCGTGTACTGACGAGCCGGAAAAAAAAAATCTCGAATATTTACAAAGTTATAGCTAATACAGTGGAGCGGGCCGAAGTACGTATTGTCAAGTAACGAGCCAGGTAGTCGGGGCGCTTGAAAAGGACCCTTCTATTATAATACCTGGAAATATTTCTTTTGTTCAACTATCGAGAATCCTTTTTAGTAAATATATATATATATACTTTTACATTTCTGCACACGTGTAACATTAGTACACGAATAATCGTTAGTCGAGAAATATATTTAGTTTAGCTGGAGATTTCTTCGTGTTCAGTCGATTTTGAAAAGCAAAAATGCCGAATTATAAAAAAGGTACACGTGGGAATATTGCAAGAAATAACACCCGGAAACGAAAGTTTCAGGGCAATCAATTCACTAATAATGAAGGTGAAAAATTCGAAGCCAGTGTAAGCCATGATCACAGTGCCAGTGGCAAAAACTCCATGCCCGTGATAGTGAAGATATAATAACAAATCCTTTACACGGGTACAGGATAATTGAATTTTTTACAGTGTTTACAGCTTTGTCTGAAATTGTGAAGTGCTCGGTGTGTAATCAGAAGATAAAATTCAATGAGTGTAGTTCCAGAGGTCTTGGTTTTAAAATTGTTGTCACATGTCCATGTGGTAATAAAACAATAAATTCAGGTCCTTTCATTAACAACGGATTTGAAATAAACCGGAGAATAGTGTTTATCATGAGACTTTTGGGTGTTGGAAGAGAAGGGATAAATTTATTTTGTAACCTGATGGACCTATGCACTGGTTTGAGTAAAAGTTGTTACGCTAACATTGTGGAACACATTTATAATACAGTGAAATTATCATTTGAATTTCTATCGCAGAAGGCAGTGAAAGAAGAGATGGAAAAAAATGTCGAGCAAGGAAGAGAAAAAAATATTTTAAAAGTATCTGGAGATGGTACTTGGAAAAAACGTGGTTTCAAATCAAATTACGGTGTTGCAACGCTCATAGGATATTATTCAGGGAAAGTTATTGATTTGAAAACAAAAAGTAGTTACTGTCAAGGCTGTATTTACTGGAAGAACAAGACTCATACAGAAGAATTCCGTAAGTGGATTGAATATCACGAGGATGAGTGTCAAAAAAATCACGAAGGTTCGTCAGGAAAGATGGAAGTCGATGCCATGAAAGAAATGTTCTCGACTTCAGAAGAAAAATTCGGAGTAAAATATGGTAACTACATTGGTGACGGAGATTCTAAGACATTCAAGGCTATTCTAGATTTAGAACCTTACGGTAATGAGTTACCAGTAGTGAAGAGTGAATGTATTGGTCATGTAGAAAAAAGAATGGGTTCTCGACTTAGAAATGTAAGAAAAGAAAAGAAACTTTCGGGGAGAGGAAAACTAACTGATAAAGTGGTAAAAAAATTAACAAAATATTATGGTTTAAGTATTCAGAGAAATGTTAACAGTGTTGAAAATATGAAAAAAGCCATAATGGCTACTTATGATCATATTTTTTCCACTACAGAAAATCCCCAACATGATAACTGCCCTGTAGGCGTTGATAGCTGGTGCAAATGGCAGAAGGCTATTGCTCAAAATCGAGATCCTCGAAAGGAAAATTTAGCTCCATTACTTGGTGAAGATTTAAAACAGCATCTTTTACCAATATATCAAGATTTGTCCAAAGATGATTTACTTGAGCGATGCCTTGGTGGTCATACGCAGAACGCGAACGAAAGTTTTAACGCTACAGTTTGGCGATTATCCCCAAAACACCTGCATTCCGGACTAAAAGTAGTCGAAATTTCAGCTTACATTGCTGCAGGGATATTTAATGAAGGTTATACTTCCGTATTAAGAATAATGAACCTTTTGAATCTGAATATTGGCACTTATGCTAAAATATTTGCGGATAGTACAGACGAGGAGCGAATAACCCGACAGAATCGTAAAAGCCTTTCAGAGACCAAAGATGCTCGTTCAGCTCGCAGACAACATCAAATAGATGAAAATCAACTTTTTGAGGAGGAAGAAGGACTGTTATATGGACCTGGAATTGCAAATTAGTCGGTAAGTAATTAATAATTCAGTAAAACTACTCATTTTCCTGTACTGAAACTTTAAACGCGATTATCTCGAAACTACTTTTTGAAAAACTGTTCGTGTTGTAGCTCAAAAAATTATTGACCGATTTGTTTGAAATTTGGTGAGGCTTTTCTCTACATTACTATCGGAAGGATAAACCTAAAACTTCAGGTATTTCTGATTGATTACTTATTTTTTTTGGGGTCAAAAGGGTCAAAAAAATAGCCCAAAATCGTAACTTTTTTTTAAGGCTGATTTTATATTGGATTTTATCCTTTTCTTTTTAATTTTATAGGTTTATCCTTTCCGTTTATATGTCCTGAAAAAAAATAATTTTTTTTTTTTTGTGTTTCAGATCAATGGTTGATGAGTGACAAATGAAGCAGTTTCGGACCTCGCGTCAGAGGCAGCCTACAAGACATCATGCTGAGCCGCCATTTTGAATTAAAAAAAAAAAATAATTCTTTTTTTGTAGTCTTAAAATGTTTAATAAAGTTGTGTTAAAAGTTCTAAACAATTAAATTATTTTTTCACTGTAAAAAAAAATATTAAAAAATGACCGATTTCGAGGCATTTACATGAGTCTCCCCCCTTAAAAAGGAATGTCTTTTCCAAACGAAATTTAAGTTTGACAACAGACTCTTAAAAGTTGAAGTAACAATTTTTGTAAATAATACAGCAACGTTATTATTTAGAAACGAATTAAAGCCAAATACCGTATCGTAATAATGGCAAACAAATTCGCAAACGGCACACCTTATCTAATGTAATGTTTTCTACAAAACTTCTTGAGCCGACAAAAAGAAAAAAGTGGTATGTAGCAATTACTCGGTATCACCAAATCAACGGTCGAGCCAGGTGACCGTTAAGACAATCAAGTGCTCCCACTTCCTGCATTACAGGTGGAGATAATACATAGAAAATGTACATTAGAGTCACCTCATAAATATGTATGGGTCTCGCTCTGTGGTCGCGAAGCGTTGCACAATCACCGCACGAATGGCCCCGCACACACGGAAACTAAGAATTGACATTGCTTTTATTTTTGTCCTTCTAAATAATTAATGTAATTGCACGAAATATTTCGCTAATTGTCTATAAATTTGTTAGCTGTTATTCTAGTGTTTATGATAAGTATGTTGTGAAAATTATTTATTGTTGGTTTAGTGTTAGATTATTTTATTGTTTGTGTAATTATCACGCATATAAGAAACTACATTAGTAAACAAGTTTTAAAATAGTGAATGTAAATATAATTATAACTTTTTTTTAAATATGATATTTGTTACTTATCAAATTTTACCTGTAATTTTATTATGCGTATCTTAAATTTATATTTTATCACTAGATACTTACAGACATTTCTTGTATCATCCATTTCTTAACCCCGTCCAGGTCCCGTGCATACTATACATATTCCGTTAATAAAAAAATCTTTTATAATTATTTTTTAAATATCCTTTATTTTCAAAAATATCAGTCATGAGGTAACTACTCCATCCCTTCGCTGTTTTATGTCATATTGACGTACAACGGCGAACTCACGGCGTGTAATAGAAAAAGTTATACGCGGCTCACCGCACGTTCTTATCATAGTTTGTTCGTGCCGCCTGAGATAAAGAAATGCGTATGCGCACACTGTGTGTGGTGAACTTTACGACTCCGTTTTAAATTATATTTTTATTTTACTTAAACTACTTTGAGGGATACAGAAGTAACCACCGTTTGAAGAATTTTTGTTTTTCCATTTTTTTTTCATTTTTATTTACCTTTTATATTAAAATTGAAAATTTTCCTGACTGTAATAAATTTGAGTAAATGTTATTTTAAATATTACATTAGTAATTAGTTTTTAGTTATCGGTAGTTAACCGTTTCGTCAGCAATTGTGTAAATATTTAAAAGAAAGCGTAGGTCTACGTAAAACGTCTATATATTGACAAGATAAAGTCAATGACCAGAATAATAACTTATTCACTAAAGTCTATAACAAATCTGCATTTAAACAATCAACAAGAAAAAGCAATGTCCGTGCGAAGACTGAATGTGCGATTACAAGATCGCTTATCTATTACGTATATAATTAGTCTATTCCGTACAACAGTGATTTTGTTAAAAAAACGACAATGAGCTATAATGGCCAATATATGCTACGAATAAGGCCACGGTAGAATACTTTCGAACAAGGAAGGACGATATTCGTAACCACGCCGCGGAAGGAAGCCGTGGGGATATTGCACAACTAGCCCGTCACGCTAGCATTTTAGGGTTACTGTTAGTAGCAGAGCGCGAGTTTGTATCGAATAAATATTTTATTTTTTAATGTTCTCTTTTTTGCTTGGTTTGTTTACAATTATCGTTGGAATTAATTTATGTTTATGCATAGATTGAAACGTAAATATGTTCAAAATGGCGGAACGGAGTTCCTATAATAAAACTAATGATTTCAATTCTTCAAATTAATTAATTTATCACATATGTAAAAACAAATAAAATAATACTATACTAGTAAAATAAATTACCTACATACCTTACATTTTTTATTAGTATAATATAAACCTTATTACTGATAAATAAGTTGTATATAATTATTGATTTTAGAGATGAGTGAGGTATCATCGTTCATATATTCATATTAATTAACTGTCCATTGTCCAGTTAACACAGGCCTTTCCTATAAGGGAGGTCTTACCAGTAGTTGCCACGCTTGACAGGCTGGTTGGCAACCTCAGTTAGGCTTTGGTGATGTTTTAAGAGAGACGCTGCGATCTGCTTATTCCTTGACTATTAAATTATTTTAGTCGTCTCTTACCACACCCACAGGAAAGTAAAGGTTGGCCCAATCTATGGAGATCACAGGGAGTAGTGATTATCATCTGAATAGAAATGAAAAAAAAAAAAATTAAAATTAAATTTGTTTTCATTAACCTGCACGTTGTAATGTAATGTACCAAAAAACAGTAATGAACAAAAAAAAGAAGACAAAAGTTTGAAGTGCCATCACGAGTGAATAGCATTGTACGTATCATGTGTATGTAGTGAAAAGACGAGGAATGTCTAGGGAATTCACTCGCTATCAGCCCTTAAACAAAAGGAACGTCTAATGTCTGAGGTCACAGCGCCCTCACGACGGTTATATGTGAATGAACGTAATTCTTTTCTTTATAAATAAATCTTTTTTTATAAAGTAAATAAAAATTTATATATAAGTGTTTATAATAAAAATAACAATGAAGGGTTTTTAATAGCAACAAAAAGTCATCAACACTAATGTTGTTGGCAATTTGGCCAGCCGATCTTTTATAAATACTAGCTGGCCCGGCAAATGTAGTACTGCCGTATATATTTTTTTTTTCTGGTTAGAGATTAGGTTAGGTTAGATTAGGTTAATCGCCTAACGGTATGACTTTACGACCTATTCTAATATCTACCATTCGTATATTTAAACCTAAAAATTTCATAAAAATCGGTTCAGCCATGTCATTAAAATTTTATATTATTATTTATATTTTTAAATTTTTTTTATATACTTTTTTGTTATATATTTTTAAACACCTTTTCTTTGACAGTTTAAATATATACATATTACATGATATATGTAGGTATCTCTGTTCTCCAGTCATATCTAAACTATATTTATATCAAATGTCACCATATACCTTGAACAGTTGGCTGCGTACGATTTTATATAGATATCTTTTATATGGATAATAACAGTTTTTGCCAGTGTTGCCTCTTTATCTTGCTTAATGTGATTAAGTTTATGCAATTAAGTATTCGTTTTGCTTGTGCTCATATTGTTAATCTTTATAATTTGTATTATTCTTTGACAGAAACAATAAAGAGTTTTCATTCATTCATTCTTTCATTCATTTATTTACTAGTGGCCCGTCTCGGCGTCGCACGAGTGGACATTTTTAACATTTCCCTTCACTGCTCTGCTCCTATTGATTGTAGCGTGATGAAAAGTATACTATAACCTGCCCAGGAGTATGAAGAATAATTGTACCAAGTTTCGTTAAAATCCGTAGAGTAGTTTTTGTTTCTATAACGAACATACAGACAGACAGACAAAAATTTTACTGATTGCATTTTTGGCATCAGTATCGATCAGTATCAATATCAGATAGTTATTTTGGAAATATATTTCATGTACAGAATTGACCTCTCTACAGATTTATTATAAGTATAGATTACAAATCGATAAGAAAAATAATAATACACTTTTTTTATTTGTAGTAAAATAAGAACAAATGTATAGGGAATTTATTTGTTATCAATGCTAAACCAGAACCAGAAGGAACGTCAAATATTAAACTTATGGCGTTCTTACTGGTTTTTGTCTTTCGGGTACTATACCCCCAAGATGGTCGGTTACGTATGAACAATTGTAACCTTTTTCTTTATAAATAAATTAGCTATATCCCGCAGCTTCATCCATGTAAATCAGTATATAATTAAAACAATATTTTGATTATTCAAAATTTACACATATTTTTATGAAAAAAAAATACCAACTTTTCCAAGCAAGAAAAAATAAAATATCGACTTACACCCTTATACTTTTGTGCACATGACGTAGATCCACCGTCTTTCGGACCGCAATCAATGTCCGCACTGAGTGGCACGTGACACGGGCCTTTATACCCTACTAATTAGACAACTATACAGTATAGTGCATTGTGACAGACAGACACAAACGCGTTTAGACAATAGGAGCTGGTTCCTTATTAGTCGACGCTAGTGTGAATACCATATACCTTTCTATCCCACTAATTAATTAATCAAAATAATTATTACTATAATCATGTTAGCTCTTTACTGTCCGCCGCTGAACATAAGCTCCTTTTTCATCATCAAAGCCTAACTCCGGTTGCCAATCCATCTGCCAATCGTGGCAACTACTGGCAAAATTAAAATGACTAAATTAAAATGTTGATGTCCCTCACCATTGCATTATATTTATTTATAATTTAAAATAATTTAATTACAATTTCCATTATTTATATTTATTATTTATATAGTTAACATCTTGACTCATTTAATGAAATTTAATAATTTAATTCTATTTTAATGTTTATTAAACACAAGGCGTGCTGTGGTTACTTATAAATGTAAGAACAGTTAGATCTAATCTACCAGTGTAATGTATTGAAATGTTTAGCTGTATCTTATGTTGGTAATCCTATAAATAAATTATTAAATTAAAAAAAAAAATTAAATAAAGAAAACCCCCCTTATTGCAGAGCATCCCTTATTCAGCAGTGGGCAGTTAACGGCTGATTATTATGCACGCATTGTCACTAGTATTACAATACTAGTAACAATACACACATACATATCTGTTACGCTTGTCTCCCATTAGGGTAGGCAGAAACAATGGAACGCCAAATGCTTCGATTCGAAGAAGTCTCTTTCGCTTCCTCCACATTCATCAATCTTTTCATACACGCTCATCGGTTACGGACACTTTTAATTTGGCTCTTCTTCACTACGTCGACTGTTTGGTCGACATATGTCCAT